AAAGTGAACCTGGGAAGCAAGGCTGGCTCTAAGAGATAAGGGTCAGACCCCGCTTTGCCCACGGGCGGTGGAATGCTCTGGCAGATAGGAGAGGAGCAAAGAAGGGGACTTGGATTCACATGACTGACCTCAAGTCCTGGCACACTGTTCCTGGCTGTGGGCCCTCAGGTGGTTCATTTGGCTTCTTTAAGCCTCAGCTCCCTCACTTGTCAATCATCTACTCAGGGCAGAGGCCCATCTGCCAGCATGTTGAGTGAACTAATGTGGCCTCTGAGAACGCCAAAGTGATGCTCAAGGGCAAGGTGGTTTGAGGTAGAGGAGGAAGAAAAGGAAAGGGAATGAGTGTCGGCTCAAAGACGAGAGGGGTGAAAAGTAGAAAAGGAAGGCAGGGGGGAGAGAGGGAGCAACAGCGTGGGGTCTGGGCTGGGGTTAGGGCTTGGGTGATGCTTGGTGGTTGGGCTTTCTTAACTACACAGAGAATAGAGCTGACTCTTAGAGCCAGTCACTGGAAAGGAGATCAGTATTCAGAGTGGTTGTCATGACAGCTTCCATTTGTATGATTTTAATTCACGGGATCACTTTTAAAGCCTCTGATCTTCATCTCATCTCTGAATAGGAGACAGGCTGCTGAAGGGCTCCCAGCCTGGCCCTGGAGCAGGTCATATCTTCACACTTCCTTAGGCCACAGAAAACCTGAACCAAGTGGTGTGGTCATACTCCTCACCAGGCCGCAGCAGCACAGGCGGGAAGTGGGGCTGTGGAGGGAAAACACAGGTTACACCTTGCCAGCCCAGACTGCACCCTTACCCAGTCCATACGGCAATATAAGACTGTTCATGATTGTCTGGCCGGCGTGGCTCAGTGGTTGAGTGTCGACCTAAGAACCAGGAGGTCACAGTTCAATTTCTGGTCAGAGCACATGCCTAGGTTGTGGGCTTGATCCCCTGTGTGGGGTGTGCAGGAGGCAGCTGATCGATGTTTCTCTCTCATTGATGTTTCTAATTCTCTATTCCTCTCCCTTCCTCTCTGTAAAAAAATCAATACAATATATTTTTTTTTAAAAAAGAATTTGAGCCAGAATGAAAATCAACTACATCACTAAGCACACTTTGTAGTAGCAAGACTTTCTTGAAGGAAGCAATGTGTGGCTTTATACTCTGGTGCAAGCTACATGCGTCTTATCATAGGCAGGTGCTTTGCAGAGCATTCATTACTCCAGGAAATAGCTAGAAAAAGTTATGAGGAAGCAAATAGGAAGAGAAGACATGAAGGATCGCCTTAAAAGTGTGGTTGTAGAAAATGAGTAAGTATTGATGAGAAACATTCAACTGAATAAAGGCTTTGAAGGTACAAAATAAGAGATACTTTAAAAAACATGTAAATGCCATGTTAGTAACTTGGCTAAGTGTTTCCTGTGTTTATAATGACTTGGAGAAGAGAACACACATGGACGTGTGACTCACACAGACCTCAGTCATGACCTCTGTCCTACAGTGTGACCTTGGACACACCACCCGTCTAACAGGCCCGTCTGTAGCTCTACCTGATTGACTGCATCGGGCCAGTTCTGGGTCTCGAGGCAGAAACCGGAGTGCTTGGGATAGACTGCTCCACTCTTGCCCTTCAGTGTGCCGTCCAGGAAGTTGCCCGTGTAAAACTGGACCCCGGGCTGGGTGGTGTGCACTTCCAGGACCCGCCCGCTTCCAGCATGATGGACCCTGGGGATAAAGCCACATATAGGGACAGGCAGAAGCTGGGAAAGCAGCTTTGAAACAGGGATCGGACCCCGTCACAGAGCCCGGACAAGATATATGGAGGAGACAGGGAGGAACAGCATCATGGGAAATTCTCACAGCCTCCGAGGTGAGGCCTTAGCAGGTGGTTTTGAGGATCCTCAATAGCAACTTTTCACTCTGATTTTGGTTTCTCTGGGGAAGGACAAAACAGACTCCCCCCAGCCAGGGGTGTGTGTGTGTGTGTGTGTGTGTGTGTGTGTTGGGGGCAGCCAGATTGGAGAGAGGCGATTTTAGGGTTTTAGGGTCCTGGAGGGGCTGGGATTCTTTCTCATAAAGAGCTGGAGCGAAACCACCAGCTGTTTTTTGAAAGACACGCTTCCCTCCCTGGGACCAGAGCGGGCTGTGCTCTTTAGTCGGCTCTCCCCCACAACATCTGCTGGGGTTTCTGCAACTTCACTGTTTTCTTTTGTTTCCAAACCAGGCCTCCACAGAGGTCTCTGTCAAGAAAGCCTGGGCCTCAGTCTCTCTGAGAAGAAAACATCCCCCATGTGTAGTCAGCCAGGAAGGCAAAGGGAAAGCGTGTGGGGAAGAGGCGGTTTGGAGAGAAGGCAGCGTCTCTTGGGCCCAGAGGAGAGAAGCAGGCTTGAGCTGCAAGAACACAGCTGGGACCTGGGGCCGGGACTCCGTGGGAAAGCAGGCTTTTTAAGTTCTCTTTCTTCTTAGAGTTTGGATCATTTTCTCATACTGAAAATCATTCTACAAACACTCAGGGCCATTTGCTAGTGGCAAGCATGGCATGAGGCAGAGGCAGGGATCCACGAAGCTGAGGTGGCAGACGGGGCTGGGGTTAGTGAGGCGGGTGTGTGCACACTGCCATGGGGCTGGTGAGAAGTGCGGCCTCCAACCTTGCGTGGACGTGGGCAGAGCAAAATCACAAGTCTAGGGAGCACGGAGGGCTCTGGGAGTTCAGGGAAGGCAGAAGGGGCTTCAGTCAGGAGGAATGAGGGCTTCTAAGAAAAACTGGGCCTTAAAGAACAGGCGGAGCTGGAGCGTGGGAGCAGAGAGAGGGGGGAAGCCGGGCAGGGGCAGGGAGGATGGCATGTGGGAGGGGGGAGGGGGCGGGAAAGTTCTGCAGAGCTCACCTGTGGAATATAAGCTATGAAAGGACATGGGATGTGGTATTTGGTCCCTGTAGCGTAGTAAATGGCATTGATGTGGCCAGAGGAAAAGCTCCCCAAATAGGGGTTGCTCTTTCCTCTTCCCTGCAGCGGCAGGAAGTGGAAAGTACCTACCGCGCACAAAAGTGCTTTTCCTTGGAGCCCTTCAGACAGAAATTGTGGTCAAAGCCACCGACGTGGAACTCCTGCAGGTGTTTCCCAAGCGCCACTGGCTTCCTCAGGTCAAATGCGGTTCCTTGCACTGGAGCAACTTCTCCTGGTGGGAAGAGGCAGGGAAAGGGGGGATAAGTGCCCAACCCAAATCTTCATGCCCGGTGTCCTAAAGGCCCACAGGTCCCACTCTCTCTGCCTTCATTTCAATTTGTAAAGGAGATGGGAGTCCAGATCTTACAAAAGAGAATGAATTATTCGATTTTTTAAAAAATTGTAAGATGCTACTGATTGCAAAGGCACTGGTCATAACGTTCAGAATCATTCACATGTGAAAGAAATAAAAATCATGAGGAGATGCATAATTTCCATTATGGGCTCAGTTGGATAAGGGGTGATGGTTGTCCTAACCATGGCATCAATCACTTTGTTGGCATTTCTCATTTTAATGCTGAACTATCCCAGGGCTCATAACCAAGCATTAGCTCCTGGAGTGGCTAACCAGACACCAACAATGTCCCTGAGAGGAGAGATTCGCCACCCATGTGGGGCCATTATTGGCCAAAAGACACTGGCAACCCCCTTCCCAATCACTTCCCTGTAGACACACTCTAAGCTGAAGCGGGACTGTTAATAATAACACAGGGACAAATGAGTTCACTGGGACAGTCCAGGGCAAGGACGCATGGCCACTCTACTATTTGCCAATTTTAGAGGCAATCTGAAGGCAAGCTTTGTGTCTCCAGGCGTGATTCCTGGCGGAGTTATAGTCCGCAAGGCTGTGTGTGTAAGCCAGGCTCCTCAAGCTCTAAGAGCAGTACATCTGTGCTTATCTTGAAGTGGGACATCTTGAAGCCTCTTCACAATGATGTGGGTGGGGACTCAGTTCTGAGGTTGGGGAGACTGCAGTGTGGGGCCCCTCAACTCTTAAAGGGCAAAACACAGAAGGAGCATGGACAGGAGCCCTGCCGTGGTGGTCACCACAACCAGTGCCCCGTCAAGAACATCCCTCTGGTGTTACAGAACTGAAGGGTGTTGGACCCGAAGGGTTTCTCAGAGCTCACCTGGTCCAAACTGCTCATGTAACATGAAACCACCCACATAACTTGACATTATCAAACAGCCACCTATGATACTGACACACTGCCTTTCATTAATTTAAGACACTCATCTTCACAGTTTAAAACCTCTGAAATCATGTTATGGTGTAACTGGCAGGTTTTCCTTTCTTCATGGGATGTGAAATAATGAATTTTACAATTGATGGCATCTTAGAGTGGATAAAACATGTAAAAAAAATGAACAAGTAATCAGGGATTTGAGGGCAAAAAGGAGAAATGAGGATTATTTCATGAGTGATTTCAAGTAGAGGTTAAAGGGACATTGTTCTGAAAACAGTGCCATTTTGCTCTGTCACCTTTCAGTCCCTTCCTAACGCGAACGGCCCAGCGGTAAGAGAGAAGGCAGGCAGTGGGGTGGGCGTAGGGGTGGCGGACTGGGAGATTTCATGGAAGAAATGACAAGGGTTGAGCAGAAGCTTGAGCTGAGATCACATTAGGTTGAATGGGTGAGGGAGGTTGAAGATGTGGAGGAAACAGCTTGAATACAGGTGATAGGGCGTTCCCATGATATAGAATTATAATATTATGTATATTATAATATTTCCATGTATGTATACAATATATATATATATTTACATTATATATAATATACTTACATTGTTTAGTTATTTTCTATATATTCCTAGTTTTGGAGTTTGATTTCCTTTTTTTTTTTCCTGCAAAAAACTTTATTGTTTACATTGGTTCAATACCTGGGAGTGGTCTTCAGGGTGGTTAAAAAAATGTTTAGGGGTTTCGGGGAGAGGCTCAGGCAAAAGCCAGACACTAGGGGATGCAGATGGGCCCCTCAAAGGCCTCTGGGCTCCACAGGCTCCTAGTGGTGCCTGAGGGTGAGCCTGTAGAAGAGATACCCGCCCAGCCCAGCCTGGGGGCCGGCAGCCTGCGGAGGTGAGTCAGGTGTCGCCCATCTTCTTTGGTTCAGGTTCCTCTACAAGGCCAGGGTGGCTTCCATGGCGCCCTGAGTTTTGCCCACTCATCTTGGGGAGGTCTCAGCGTGTCCTGGAGGAGAATGCGGCCACCGCGCTGGTTTTGCAACTTTAAGAGACGCTCAGCGCCCTCGCGCTTCTTCGCTGCAAATTCTCGGAGACCCACGCCCTCCAGAGCCACATCGTCCTGGTTGAATAGAAGCCAGAGAGGTAGGTGTGGGGGGCCCGCAGGTGCAGGTTGGCCAGGCGGTTGACCGCAGCCTCCATCTCGGTGGAATAATTCTGACGAATTTGGGAGCTCATGGCTGTTGGGCAATAAGGAGTTAAGGTAGAAAAAGAAACCAGTGTGTTGGCTGGTCTCAGAGGTGGTTCCAAAGGTGGTGACTGGATGAGACAGTGGAGGGTGGTCAGAGGCTGGAAGAAGGGGCGTCCCTGGGTCTGTTCTGTCCACACACAGTTGAAGCAAGAGACAGATCCGGGAGCGCCGAGGGCACTGGCTGATTTCCTTTTTGATCCAGGAATTAAGAGTGGACACATTTCTAGGTCAATATTGGCTGTGTTACTTATGTTTTGTGACAGTGCCTCAGGTTTCCTTAATGGGCTTAGATGTGCTCATTTCTGTGCGAACCTTCACTGTGAGCTGCATCCTTTATCATTACAAGATGTCCTCTTTTATGTAATTTGATGCTCTCTGTCCTGAAACCAGCCTGTACTGGTAAGAGGGAGACCCTGCTACTTCAGCCTTCAGGTGTTTGGTGTGCTCCTGAAGTCTCATATTTCAACCTTCCCGAGTCAGTCGGTTTGTACACGGCCTTCCGCTGGGTTTTGCTTTGGGAGTCCATCTCTGAGACTGTGTTTAGCAGGGGCATTCCACGGCATTAACATGACACATACGTGTTCTAAGTGTTCTTTGTTCTAGCCTTATATTTTCTGGCATGCTTTCTGTGTTTATGAATTCTAGTTATTACTTAAAAAAATCTTTTTACATATGATCGGTTTGTGTGTGTTTCTGATCAGTTAGAAGGTGTGTATTTTTGTTTTACATCTATAAGTAACTTCAATGTAATAAATTAATGTTGTTTATTAGACTCTGTCTAGCGGCTCCTTCCCCCCCCACCCCCCCTTCTCCTCTTTGCCCAGTAGGGTTTCTGACAGTTTAACTTTAAGTATTCTTTCCAAGGGCGCTTTTCTTTCCCAGCAGATGGTGCTAGAGACACGATAGAAAGAGCTTTGTTTATAAAACAAACATCGACCTCATTTGAGTTCAGATTCAGCCCTCTGACCCCTGATCTGTTCTGGGAGAATGAATAGTTGAACTTTTTGGATCTGTAAGGCCAAAGGCCAAATCTTGTCAGTGACCCCCCATCACCCCCCTACCCCACCTCACCCCCCGGCTCCAGGTGCTATTGTTCTGTGAAGTCTGGGTGACCAACCATCTCCCAAAGTGACTTTAAAAAAAGGCAACTGTTTCCTTATGAACCAATTCGCCTGGGAAAAAGAAGCAGCTGTTCTCAGGGGCTCAGCAGGTTTTAAGGTTACCCGTCCATATGCTAAGTGGAAACTTATGTTATGCTTTCTTCCTTATATAGTGTTCACAATATTTAGTTCTTCCCTAAAGCTATACTTGTCTCAAAATCTAACCCTTATGACAGCCCTAGACAGCGATTTGTCTAGGTCAGTCAAGATTACTTACTTCTCTTGACTTGGAAAAAAGAAAGTCATGTAGTTTTCATGACATAAGGACCCAAGGGCGAATTTCCAGTCTGTTTGCCTGATCTTGAGCAATCTACAAATCAGTATTTATTTTACTTTCCTCTCTGTAAAACGAAGCTGCTATTATTTGCAGCCTTACACGTTACATGGAAATATTCGACCATGTAATGGCAAAGAAGCCCTGATTTCAAAAATGAGAAACTTGGGATAATTCTAAAGTGAGGTTTTGCTAAAATGAAAAGAAAACATGAAAAAAAAAGGTTCCAATCTGTCTTTTCCAGCCTCATGCCCTCATACACCCCCTCATGTGCCTAGTGGTTGGGCACATAGACAATTTGGAATTTGTTCCCAGATTTGAGGCCCTTTCTCATAACCAGAATGTCCGTTCTGTGCCCCCCACACCCACCACAATCTGGCACAGTCCACAGGATCATTTAAGAATATTCTTGCCTTAACTAGTTTGGCTCAGTGGATAGAGCATCAGTCTGTGGACTGAAGGGTCCCAGGTTCGATTCTGGCCAAGGACATAGGCCAGTGTTGCGGGCTCAATTCCCCCTCAGTAGGGGGCGTGCAGGAGGCAGCCAGTCAATGATATTCTCTCATTGATGTTTCTCTCTATCTCTCTCCCTTCCTCTCTGAAATCAATAAAAATATATTTAAAAAAAGATGAAATAGC